GTCAGTGTTTTTCTATACCTGGACCATTTTACCCCTACATGGAGTTCATTGTGTGTTGCTTTGTTGGTGCCTTGAGAATTGCAAATTTCATATAAACTTCATATTTCTGGTTAGTATGCTTCTGGTTGTTGTTTGATGTTGAGATTGCTGTTGGGAGTGTGTTCATATATCTTGACCATTTTACCCTTGGATTTTTTTAGGCCATAAAGGTGATCCCTTCATATTGGCCTCACAAGCACAACAAGTATCTTATGTGGCAGACCCGCTCGATCAAAAAATGTCTATTGTGTTCAATACACCTACCAAAAATTACAGAGATACATATGAAGATGTAGATGAAGAATTTAGTATTGTAGTTCCTCATAATGATAATATATTGCCACGTGTAGACACACTTGAGTTGCAGAAGGAAAATGATTATTTTCGTACTGATTGTCATGGTATTCTTATATGTACGATATGTGTTTCTTAATGTCATGAATTACATTTGTAGCGATAATATTTTTCCTTCTTTTAACATTTAATGATCTTTATTTTTTGTTTGTAGAAGGGAAATGCCAAACCTTGATCCTAGCGTTACGTGGAGAATAAGAAAATGACAAAAAATGACGATGTACTTTCCTTAATATTTTTTTACCATATTATACCATCAAACTATTCTGGTGTAATATTGTTATAACTCAAAGTTATTTTTTTTCAGTTTTTTACTGTAATGGTGGATGACATGTTATAACATAAACTGCATGTTATAGTAATGTACTTTCGCTATGCAATGTTAGACAAAGTTGTGTTCTTTTCATTTATTTATCATACTATTCTGTTAAAATAAGTTGTATTCTTTTCATTTTTAATGGTGTCTGATCTGGTGCAATTAAAAGAATAGATGACAAAAAGGGCAATTTGGTCCTTTCTTATAGCTCTTATTCAATACAACTATATTGTTATTTGTTTTTGTTTTTATTATTTTTAGTTTTTTTTTTGGTTTTTTCAGAAATTGTTTCTAACTTTACAAAACTGTCATTCAATTTTTTTCATTAATTTATACAACCCTTTAATTGCAAAAAAAGCAATGTACTTTTGTAAAATGCCATGATTGAACTTTTTGTTCATTTTTTATTCTACCAAATGATATCAAAGATAAATATGGTCAAATTTAAGAGTCTTCCAGATACAATAGTACAACCAGAATAAACGTTACATATGTGTCTATATTTACATATAGACACATATAATAGCTATAATCGTAACTAAATGCTACCTACATACAATATTTGTTTCTTCTTAAAGCCAAATCATAATATTTTGACACACATAATAAAAGGTACATGACCATAAGTAACCAATACTAACTTGTTTTATTTTCTTGCGTTAACTAAGTACAACTAGTAAAGAACCGCCCTATGGACACACAAATATTTAGTGTGACCATATGTATCACCTTTTAGCTACTTTGTCTGTTATGTGGCTAAAAAGGCACCCGGTTATAAACACACATAGAACTAACTCATGTCACGATACATTTATATATTGTCTCTCATAAAAAAAGTATGACAATCTTAATCGATACCTGTGGCTGATTGTGACCTATGGCCTCAGTGGTCGAGTGTGACTAATATTTGTCACATTTGGTATAATTAAGTGTGGTTAAAGTTTTGATTATCTATATAATGGTCACACAAACTAATTTAAATGTATCCAAAAACAGTCTCTAAATTTTTTTAGTGACCTTTGGCCACACTTTTAATAAAAAGTGTCATAGGCCGTTTTTCGGAAAGTGTGACTGTAGGTCATTTTTGTACTAGTGATATTTCTTTGTGTTGTAATCCAACAAACCCAGGAGCAATCCAATCATAAGCTGAATGATGGGAGGGCATTCCAGTCTTATGTTGTGGGATTGGGAGCAAGCCAGTCAAATGTTAAGGATCGGGAGGGCATTCCAATCTTATGTTGTGGGCTCAGGAGCAATCAAGTCATAAGCTGAGAGTCGGGAGGGCATTCCAGTCTTATGTGTCGTGGGCTCGGGGGCAATCTAGTCTTATGTTGTGGGCCCGGTGTGCATGCATTGTATATATATTGTTGTGTAGGGTATTTTAGGGGAACTCAGTAAGCTTTGGCTTACAGTAGTTGATTTCAATGTTTTCAGGTACTTTTGATGATAGGGGCAATGTGAAGGCATGATCGTACACTCCTCCTTATGATTTATGTTTTGAGAGATTATCTTGATACTCTGATTTTTTTAGATGTGGATATGATTCGAAAACAATGCTTGATTAGTTGATAACTTATTGAAAATGTTCTAATAAAATCGAAAAAAAATTCATGCTTTTTTTGGGATGTTATAGTAAGCCAAAACTTACTAAGTTCTCCAAAATATCCTACACCACAATATACATACAAGCAAAAAAAACATTAGCCATCAGTCCACGACTGTTCCGCCCTTCTCACCTGCAACATAAAGGCGGTTCGTGCATGGCCTTCAGCATAACGATGGTCCGCCCGCGTATGTTGGCCTTCTACGTAAAGCAAGATCGTCTGCAACTCACCACAAGATATGTCAACATATATAACAAACAGGTAAACAAATACTCCAACAACACAAACTGTCTACACTAGTCTACCTGTCTAACAGTTCACCACAACATTAAGATGGCTTATATTGCACTCTAAACTACAACTAACATATCATATTTATGGATATTTTCTTAGACAATCATATGAAGATACCTTACCCACAACAAAAACATAATGAAATTCATGCAATGCAAAATATTCATATCTTATATGAATAATATTTCAAATAATTATCATGCAATGCAAAATATTCATATTTTATATGAATAATATTTCAAATAATTATCAGAAGTATATAAAATATTTTTTTATGTTAATAATATAATTGTTTTTCATTATTATTATTATACATAATAAAGTAAAATGTTATATGTATTATACAAATAAGCCAATATAAGATATCATTTTTGGTTATGTTACATGTATAATTGTATAAATAGAAATTGCCAAATATTAAAATAGCTTACCAACTCTTTCAATTTTTTGTATTCAATAAGTGCATTCAAAAATCTATATAAAACTATGTTTTAACACTAGATAAATTAATAAACATGTTTATAAAAAAAAAAATTAAAAAAAAAATAGTTGTTTTAACTAGGCAATCCCAAACACCCCTAAAAAGGAAAAGAAAAGCTAAAAATTGCATGTTTACCTCACAGATCTTCTCACCCCTCACCTGTTTCTCATGTGTCTCCTTCATCCTCACATATTTCTCCCTTCTCTTCGGTGCCGGTTATACGAGCTGTCTGTTGCTACCACCTACCTCCTCACTCTCAATCCTTCTCCATCTGCCATTTGCCGGCAAATACTTACTTTTTTATGTGCGTCTCTCCAGCTCTCTTATTTGTGCATATTGCTCCCATTTATTTTACTGTTGTGCAGTTGTTCGTCCACGGTAATAGTTTGTAGAGCGTTTGGATTATTGGATTTGTGTTTCTTTGGAGTTTGGCACTTGTTTTCTTCTATTGTGTTGTACAACATAGATAATAAATTTGTTACTTTTGAAAGTATCTAGCTATTATCAACGACAATATGATAGATGATATGTATTTGTCTAACATAATTTTGGTTTTCTATGTTGCCTTGCATATGTAGCTAGTTTTTGTTGAGAAATAAATCAATATTGCACGACCAAGAAGACTGTGTGAATGTGAAGAAGAAGACGATGAGAACTGAACTCATTTCCATATGTAATAGTTGTCGTTGATTTGTTCTTCATCCTTTCGGCATCGGATCTTCTGACAGGCGGTGTACGAGAGTGAACTAATATTACTGCCTAACATTTATTATCGTAGATCACTATAGCCTTGAACTAACTGTTAGTGAGACAGTGATGAGAAAATCGGAGTCTATTGAAAGGTCATTGTAACCTAATAGTAATACATGAGAATGCCATCTGTTAAAAATCCATATGCAATTTTATTGGCTAGATAGGTCATTTTTAAAAAATTTGGTTATGCTAAGAAAATGATTATAAAAGTTGATTATTTTTCTATTTTTGTCTAAAAAAAATATATAATCAAGTTATTCTGATTCTTATTATATATTATCTGTAAGAGAAATTATTATAAAATTTCCGCCGGCCAAAAAATTTTGCTGTTACAAAAGAAAATTAAAATAAATCGACAAAAAAAAAAAAGGGAAATTACTTGAAGACCAACAAAGTCAAAAGTTAATAGACATCCGCTATAGCAACACGATAACAACCAGACAAAATCAGCAGTTCACTTCGGCAAATCTGAAGCTCCTTTTTTGGATACAAGAGATATCGATCGTGAAGAATCAAAGGTCCGCTCAGGAGAAGCTACCCAACGATGTTATCCACGCCTATCAAAGATACAGACTCCTCTTTCATACTTCTAGGCGAGACATGTCAACGTTTTACTCTTTCTGAGATTCAATCCGCAACCAACAACTTCGACGAGGCTTTTGTCATTGGTCAGGGAGGATTCGGCAAGGTGTATAAATGTTCCAAAATCGGGTCAATAACCGAAGTTGCAGTCAAACGGTTGTACTCCATGTCCAATCAAGGAGCCAATGAATTTGAGTCGGAAGTCAAGGTCCTCTCTAAGCTGCGACATGGTAATCTCGTATCCTTAATTGGTTATTGCAATGAAGTAAAAGAGATGGTGCTCGTTTATGAGTTCATGCCGAATGGAACACTTGAAGATCATCTTCGCTCACCGGATTCCTCTTTATCCTGGTTACAACTACTCAAGATATGTGTAGGAGCAGCTCGGGGTTTAGACTACCTTCACACAGGTACGTCAACTCAACATGGAGTCATACACCGCGATGTGAAGACCTCCAATATTTTGTTGGATGCAAACTTTGCAGCTAAACTTTCAGATTTCGGATTGGCAAAAGTTGGTTTAACAGATCAAACACGAACTCATGTGAGCACAGCTGTCAAAGGAACATTTGGGTATATGGATCCATGTTATTTCTACACCGGAAAATTGACAAGAAAATCAGATGTTTACGCGTTTGGGGTTGTACTGTTCGAGGTGTTGTCAGGGAGAAAAGCGGTCGATATCAGTTTTGATGAAGAGCAATGGGGTTTAGCTGCTTGGGCTCAGCACCTAATCAAAGAAGGAAAGATTAATAATATTATTGACCCGAGATTGATTCGAGAAATTTCAAGAAAATGCTTGAAGGAATTTGCAAGCGTAGCTGGTCGTTGTTTACACACCCTACCAAAACACCGCCCTACCATGGCTGAGGTTGTGGTCAGGCTCGAGTCTATTCTTTCACAAGAAAGAGAAAGCGCCAATTCGGTTGTTGATGATGAAGGATTCATTTACAAGCTAAAATCTCTTTTCATTGGGAAATTAGTTGTTGCTGCAATTGGAAGCAAATCTGATTTCATTGCGCATCCTAAACCGATAGTAGCTGAAAATAATGCTGCAAGACGAAAAAATCCTTATAGAAGTTTTAGAACTTTGTCATATACTGAATTGGTAAGTGCAACAAATGGTTTTGAGGACGAGGATTTTAATAACTCCATTTTTAAAGGTTGGGTTGATAAAAGGACATATATGCCAAACAGAAGCAAATCTGATTTAGCTGCGCACCACAAACCAATATCAACTAAAGTTGATGCTGCAATAGGAAGCAATAGTACTAATCAAAGTTTTAGAACTTTCACATATACTGAATTGGCAATTGCATCAAACAATTTCAAGGACAAGGAATATTCCCCAACTTTAATGGATTTCATCTGCAAAGGTTGGGTTGATGAAAGGACGTATGCACCAACAATAAAAGGTGTCGGTTTAGCGATGTATGTTACAAAAATGGAGATTCCAACACAAAAGGTACGTCAAATATTTGAAATGATTTGGATGTGGGAGTCACTTTAAATCGCATAATGAATGAGCCTCATATATTTTTCATGCATTATGATATTTTCTAGCTTCTTAAGTTAACAATTTTGGTTGTGCAGCTGGACATCAAACTAGAAGATTTCAATCATCCAAACCTTGTAAAATTCTTGGGATATTGCTTGAATAAGCACGAACTATTTTGTGTTTACGAGGTCATTTCAGCTGGCATAACTTTGGATAGATATCTTTACGGAGGTAAGCATACCTTCCAGTTAGTTGTAAATATCTTTCAGTCATAGTAGTTAAACCGGGTAAACTGTATTTTTACTATTGACGTAATCGTTACAATACGTGTGTATATAAATACGAAATACATTTACATAATACACCCTCTAATATTATAAATATATATATGTTCGTCTAATATTTCCCCTCAAGCTAACGCCGGGGGATCGACTCTTAGCTTGAACTTTAAAAAGAGGAAACGCTCGGAAGGCAGTGGGTTAGTGAATACATCGGCTATTTGATCATGTGTAGAAATAAGTTAAACTGAAATTTTTCCTTGTGCAACCTTCTCTCGAACGAAGTGAAAATCAACCTCTATTTGCTTTGTCCGCGCGTGAAAAACATATTTAGCAGTCAAATATGTGGTTCCCAAGTTATCGCACCATAAAGTTGGAACCTATTTCATTGGAACATGAAGTTCTCGTAAGAGGGTTTCAAGCCAAGTTAATTCGGTAACTGTATCAGCTAACACCTTGTATTTGGATTCAGTAGATAACCTTGATACGGTCTTTTGTTTTCTAGCAGACTAGGAGACAAGGTTTGAACCAAGATACATCGCAAATCCGCCTGTGGATCGAGTCATCTGGGCATCTAACCTAATTGGCATCGTAGAAGGCGCTCATGGAGTTAAACACAGCATGTAACATAACATGGAGGATGATGATCGAGAAATTATGAGACCATGTTCAACCGTACCGTGTAGAAATCGCAAAAATACATTTCACCGGAGACCAATGATTTATAGTAGGTGACTGCACAAATTGACAAACTTTATTAATTGCAAAAGTAATGGCAGGTTGTGATAACGTAACATACTATAATGCCCCCACCATTTTTCTGTATTTGACCGGATCATCAAAGGAAGCACTATCACTAAGTGACAAAGTAGCGTTAGTGGTTCATCGGGACGGAACAGGCTTGGAGTGAGAGAGATTTTCTTTGGTCAACAACTCGTGTATGTATTTCCGTTGAGAAAGAATAATGTCAGAACCTCAATGTGCAACCTCAATTCCCAAAAAATATGATAAAGGACCCATGTCTTGGACTACAAAGGATCGACTTAGACTCTAAACAATATGATTGATGGCTTTGTTGTTGTTTCCGGTGAGGATAATGGCATCAACATAAACAAGCATATACATAAGTATACTATGAGCCGAGTAGATGAACAGTGAGGGGTCAGTTTTGGAGTCATTGAAACCAAGCTCTTGGTGTCTTTTTCAGCCCATATAAGGACTTATGAAGTAGACATACATGATCTGGTTTATGTGGATCAACAAAACCTTGGGACTGTTCGAAGTACACAGTTTCCTTCAGGTCTCCATGTAAGAAGGCATTTTGGACATCAAGTTGTCTGAGAGACCATTGTTTAGTAACTGCGAGTGAGATAACAACTTGGATAGTTGTTGATTTTACTACTGAACTGAAGGTCTTGGTATACTCAATTCCCGATTGCTGGTTAAAACCTTTGGCAATAAGACGCGCTTTATATCGCTGAATCGCCCCATTTTTCTCTTTTAATTTTATAAACCCATTTGCAGTCTACTACATTGGTCTTGGGAACACGAGGAATGAGGGTCCATGTGCAATTTCATATTAATGTCGAGTATTCATCAACCATAGCTTTTTGCCAGCATGAATCTTTGTTAGAAACGGTGAAGGTAATGAGATCTTTGATTGTTGGTTTGACGGATGTATGAAAGGATGATGGCTCTTGGATTGCTAGTTTGACGGATGTATAAAAGAATGATGTTTTGATGAAAATGGGTTGGTCTTGAAGGTTGTGAAGGAGGAAGGTGAGTATATATAGATTAAGAGGGATGTTATGGTTGGTCGGGTAGGGGTTCGTTTGTCAGGTCGAGTAATAGAGTTGTAGTTGTTGAGGAATGAGTGGGTTGGGTGGAGGCTATTTGAGTATGGGTGTACCAGTCAAATGAGGAAGTGGTGATGGTAAGGGGTTCGGTGGAGGTGTGACGGGAATAGGTGTGAGTTGGTAAGGGGTTGGTTTGTTGTGGAGGAGTAGTGTGGAGAGGGATTTTCAATTGTGAAGAGTTATATGTGGAAGGAGGCATAGGTGGAATGGTAGGATCAGAAGAGATATAAGGGTTGTTGGGTATAATTGTTGAGGGATCGATAGATTTTGTGGGAAAGGGGACAGAGTTTCCATTGAACCGAACGTAATGGGCAATGAAAATGTGTTTCGTGTTGGGATCGAAACACCAATACCCATGATGGTTGGTGCTATAGCCAATAAAAATACAAGAAATGAATCGAATATCGACCCGGTTTGTGTTTAAAGGGTTATTTAAAAGGAGAAATGGTGGAGTTTGAATGTGAAGCCATGCGATTTATAAGATAGAGTACAGTTTCAAAGGAAAAGTGCCAAATATGCTAATGTACATGAGATTGTTTCATGAGAGTGAGTCTCTCGACGACACCATTTTGTTCATTGGTGTGAAGACAAGAGAGGTAATGAATTACACCAAAAGAAGATAAAAAATATGATAGTTTCGAAACTTACCTCCCAATTAGTTTAAACTGTTTTAAGTTTGGTTAGAAATTGACATTCATCCATGGTGACAAAACATTTATACACATCAAACACATCAGATTTGCCTTTTAAAGGAAACAACCACATAAATTTGCAATAATGATCTACACATAAGTATAAGACAATAAATTAAGTTTGGAAGATTTCGCAATTGAACATGAATTACAATGAAAATCAAATGTCTTACTAGAAATAACCATCAAACTGAGTCCCCAAACATCAGAAAAACTAAGTCTGGAACACGGGTACTTTTATAAGTAGAAGCCAATAAATTGCTTTTGGAAGATTTCCCAATTAAACATAAATTACAATGAAAATCAAATGTCTAATTGGAAATAGGTAAGAAATATTTTGAAAAAACTAAGAATGTGGATGTCCCAGCCACTAATGAGATGTGGTTGTAGTAGCTTAAGTTGTTGAGAAGGTGAATTTTGGAAATGGTAGAGTTGTTGGAAGATTGATGGAGTAGAGTCCATCATTACTTGTACCCATGAGGAGGGTAGTGTGAGTAGTCGAGTCTTTGATAGCAAAAAAGGGGGAGTTAAATACAAAATACACATGATTATCAAGACAATTTTTGGATAGAAGGAAGATGTTTCTTGATTTTAGGCACATGAAGAATGTTGTTCACGTGAAAACTTTTTTTTTGGAGATTAAAATAGGACGGAACCAATGTGAAGGATAATGAGGGCCTTAGTATTACCAACCTGTAGATTGCCATCCCCATAGTATGATGCAGCGGAAGTAAATCTTGTCATATCAGGCGCAACATGGTTGTTTGAGCATGTGTCTGTGAGATAAGAAAAGGACACTTTGTTGTGGGAATAGAAGGGTAATGGTGGAGAACCGGATTCATAATGGATCGTGTAAGGTCACTTTCTGAACTGATATTTCCACTCTATGCTCGGGTTGCAGGAAATCCAGTCTAGGGTTATCCAAAAGGACACTAGTGAATCTAGGCACTGAAATACAAACCGAATTGCCAGATGAATTCTGAGTTTGTTATAGAAAAGAGAGAGCAGAGAAGAGACTAATGACAGCTCAATAGAGGAGGTGTATTTATACATTGACATAATAGGGTTTCCATCTTCTAAACTAGTTAAACAAATCATGAATTAATGGCATAGTCAATGGCCACCGCCAGCGGCTTTACCCTTGGACCCTACTACGGGTGCTGCCCTTAGGACCATGCAAGGGGGGTGTTGCCCCTTGACCCCCATTATTTTGTCGCACCGGCTTATAATTTGATTTTATATATGCATGCACTCCACATTCACAAAACATATTATATAGAGTACAAATAATAAGCCCCTTAACTCACATATTAGTTCCAATTACACAAAATGCATGGTGACACTAAAATCATCAATATTACTCCCACATTTTAGTGTAACCCATGAACTAAAATAAAATTATCTAGACAAACCAAACCAATACATAAATGAAAATGTCGAAAAAATTAATTTCCTCTCTTATTATTAAACAATTCAAATACTCGAGAATCAAGGTGTTTTAAGAATTGAACCCTTAAACCCAACTGAATACCTGAAAGTAAAATATATACTAGTTTATTGAACTTTCTAGCAAAATACAACTTGACACTATTATAAACTTATATGTCCTAATCCTCTCATGATTGTATCAAGGATAAGTCCCTAACATCTTGGAATACGGCTACACTTCACAATCACGTAGGTAATTCCTTTACTTCATGTATCGACACATACATTTTACAAAAGGAATTATTAAGAAGCTAAAACTCAATCGGGCTAACTGTAGAACCGAACACATACATGGGATGTATACTTTATGTGTTCCAATCTATAAGTGTGATCTTTACATATTGAATTCAACTCCTAATGTCATATTATGAGATAATTGTGTGACTCACCATTACAAAATTAAATGGACTTTAATCCCATACCAACAACAAACTTGTGCGCTAAGTATCTTATCAGACCTTAGTCAAATGATCTACCAAATTTTGTTGCAATTTCACAAACTCAATCGAATTCACACAGTTCATGACAAATTCTCTAATCATACTGTGTCTAACACGTAGGTGTCTGGACTTGCCGTTATAAACCTGGATGTAAGCCTTAGTCAAGGTGGCTGCATTATCACAAAGGATAGAGATGAGTGTTATCAACTTTGACCACGAAGGAATCTCATAGACTAAATTCGTTCGCCAGCTTGCTTCTTTACTAGCTAAAACTAACGTAACAAACTTGGATTCCATTGTCAAGTTTGTAATGCATGTTTGCTTCTTGGAAGGCCAGGAAATGGCACCTCTGCCAAGCAAGAATACCCAATCAATAGTTAAGGAATAGTCCTCCATGTTGGTTATCCAAATTGAATCCGGATGACCTTCTAAAAATGAAGGACTTCCCAAGTAACTCAATCCATAATCCATGGTTCC